GCGGGGAAGCGCATGATTGGTTTTGTCACAATCGGCAGAGCTACGTGTATGGTTGGTGGTTTGAATGCCCCCCCCCCCCCTCAGCCTCGTACTTCAACTGATAGGGTGCCAGAGGGCTGTCGGGTGAATGAATTACGACTGATGGATGGTGCCGAGAAGAAAGTCATCTCTAACATTGAGCTCATGATTATGAGCAAATCAGTTGTTTCTCAGCAACTGGTTTGTAACATCTTAGTACATGTACAGTAGGTCCATGAACACTTGACTGGTCACAAACCTGCTCCCAAATTAGTGAACATGATGAGGATGATGGTGGCTTCTTAATGCTATTTCTAGATCTTACAAATCGTCCCTATTTTCACGAAGTGACGGTAGTGAGGAAAATCGTAGCGCAAAGTGAATGCAATTTTTCTTCACTACAGTTACTTCGTGAAAACAGCGACGAAATATACTGTAGTAGGTCCAACAAGCATGCATGCATCCAATCCATGGAGTGTAGAGTACATGTACATGTGCATCATGACACATACATGTACGATTGCTTTGCTTGCCAACCAAAAATGTAATTGAGCAGTTTCAGTAACCAAATTCTGTGATTTAATTGCAATGACGACCTTCGTCATTGCCTTGTTTTCGTTCACATTCTGCCCCATTAATATACTTATCCTTATCCTTATCCTTATCGTCCGGAAATCCCATTCGTTTTGCACGTAGTGTTTGTTATTCCTAGTAAGGTGCTTTCCTCATGTCCTTTTTCATTTCAAATTTCATAGGCATAGTCTCTAGCATCCCATCAAGGTCACCTACTTTTTTGATTTTCGAAATCACTCGTGCATAACCGTCCAGGCGCCATTTTGTCCGTTTCTGGTCCATTTTAAGGCCTTTCTTTCTTCCTTCCTATCTCCACTATCCTAGATCCTACAAACTTCTAACAAATTCCTCTAGATAGTCTAAGAGATGTTCTTTTATCTGCGACGCATAACCTGACCTTCAAAATGCCATCTTCGTACTCAAAATTCAAATCTGAAACCGACTTCGTCAAAAATTTATCAAGTTCTTGAAAAATGGACCCCTAAATAATCTAAAACTGCCATAACTTTCTTATATGAATTTCGTTTTGTATTTGAATCTCACAGTATCTTTATCTCATAATTGCACATAGCCATGCAAAATTTTACGCTCCAATGGCTTTGCAAAACATAAATAGCGCCCTCTAAAGTTCTGGGAATTGGCTGTCTTTCTGTGGCCGTATCTCCATTATGGCTTGGCAAATCCGTACCCTTTTTTGGATTTAGATACTTGAAGATATGTCCTTTCGAGCCATATACAAAATTATATACCCTAACACTGAATGACTTTGAGAAAAATGCCCTCCAAATTCGCCATTTTCAAGAAAATTCCAAAATAACTTCAACTTGCTCTAAAATGGCGATCTTTATACCTACATCAATGAAACTTGGCACACATATGTATCCATATACATGACAACTGTCTGCCAAGTTAAATAAATTGTAATGCCCTCGTCGCAAAGTTATCACCAAAAATGATGAATTTACTATGCATTACGTAATAGCGCGTTTAATGCGTGCAATACATTGCGCGCAAATAACAATGGTGTCAAACTGACTGCAATGAAGTGCTCTTTCGAATGATACCAAGTATGGTATATGTTCACACAGAAGATTGTGAGTAAATCGCATTTGAACATAGGTCACTATACGAATTCCGCCGAGTTTCCGCCCGAATCTAACACGTATCGGCTATGACGTCATTTTTTCAGACTGCTTTTCGCCCCTTAAACGTCCTTTTTTTTCCTTGAAAATTTGCAGTGACATGCCGAGTTCCAATACGCAGGGCACCTCTTGGCCGGATTTTTGAAATTGGTCAAGGGGCCATTTAAGACGCCATTTTGCCCTATAAATCTATTTTACATCACGTGTTTCGAAAGGATTATCATAGAAAAAAAAGAGTGGTTTACAATAACAACCATGAAATTTTCTTTCTAATGATACCAAATACGGCCCATAAAGAGACGTAAAGAGAGAGAGAAAAAACAATTTAACTCCGGTCATAATACAGATCCTGTACGTTTTCCGCCCATTTATTACACGCATTGTCTATGGGGCATATCGGGTTCACGCTTTTGGCCCCCAGAACGATGTTTATTGCAATGACGAACATGCACCAAATCCCCTTGGTTTTTGCACGCAGTGCTTGCGAGCCCTTTCTAGGTTCTTTCCCCTATCCCAATTTCTTTCAAACTTCGTAGGCATAGTACCATCCCATCAAGGTCACTGTTGAGGCCTTTCTTTCGGCCACCCATCTCCAATATCACAGAAGCTATACAGACTTCGTGCAAATTGCTCTGGATAGTCCGAGAGAAGCTCTTTCGTTTGACACGTAGAAACATGGCGTCATTGCACGCACATCGTTGTGACACGATTGCATTTCTAGTTTAAGTGTGCTATGGTATTTTTTATTGTTAATACTTTTAACTAACAGGGTAAATATGTACAGTACATGTACTGTACACTGCTTGGACTATACATTTTTGTTTACAGTTTCAAATGCACATTATCATTATTTGATTTCAGTAATTACTAAACAAAATAATTTTTTCTTTGCCAAAATCTTACATGTACTGTACATGTAAATGAAGAAAATATGTAGATTTTTTTTTGTTTATATCTGAATTTTGCTTTAGGGCTTTCTCTTTGAGTGAGATGATAGAAATTAGGTTGACAGAAAATAAAAAATGTACAGTATGGGTAGTACAATTTATAATAATAATAACAATAAAATACAACAAATACATAACAAATAATAATAACAATACTAATTATAATGATTACATGTATATTATTAACAATAATGATAATAAATGGTAATAACATGAAGAATAATACTAAAATACTACTATGTACTACTAATAATGATTTGTACAGTATGGCACTGAATGCCTGAATCCTCTTGAAATTGAAGGCATACTTGCACAAAAATTAAAAATATAAAAAACAAGAAGAAAAATGTACATGAATGTATGTGTATGACAAGTTGAGAACCATGATGTCAATAATGTACCGGTATCATTCTTATCACCTAATTACATGTAAAATTTAATTTAAAAAGAAAAATTTTAAACTCTACAGCAAAAAAAAGGGAATTTACATGTACACATGTAGATAAATAAAACCCATGTTTAAAAGCAAATAATTCATAAAGTCCCTCACAGCATACTTTATCTTGAACATTTTCAGTTCCCCCCCCCCCCCCCCCCCCCCTCTAATCCATGTTTGTACGTGTACCGTAACCAACTTGATTGTTGTTCGTCCAAAGTTTTGACAATGCATTGACTTGCATTTTTGATTTCACAGCTTCATGCAATGCTTTAAAGAGCAACATCACTCATTGCATACATGTACAGGTATAACACTGTACCACAAAGTACACAAAGTTGTCCTGTACTTGAACTTGTATATTTTCAACTGGCATATTCTGGCCAATAGATGGCAGCAAGGTATATTCATAAATTCCATTGAATGAGTCTGTTCCATGATGCAAACATAATATGTAGATGTACTGTAGATTACACATGTACTGTATGTGTACATCGTACATCGTATATTCAGTGTAGATGTACATACAGTACATAACTTGAAAATCATACCTCAGACCAGGCCTTCTCAACTTGCTTATTAGAAGTGCTAAAAAGTATTTTTAGTTGAAGTGCCAACCTGTATGTTTGAATTTGTTGCGCGGGAACCAACAACGTGCGGGATCCAGGGGCATAGCCCCCTTGAAGCTGGTCTATTTTAGGGCTTTCTAAAGGCCCAGATGTGCCATTTTTAACACCTTTTTATTCTAAAATACAATTATCAGTCATGATTTTATACCGATGTGAAAAAAACTTTAGTAGGCCTACAATTCCTGGGTACAATCACACTGGAGGTAAATTTATAAGTAGTTATTTTTGCACAATAAACACAGGTAATGTCAAAAGTAAGTGAAAATCAAAAAACAAAAACAAGATGTTTCAAGAGATTGGCAATGTTGAAATTGGTAGCACATCCTAAGCTCATTGTTTTTTTTTAGAGCTCAGGTTGAAATAATTAAGAGTCGTATGAAATGGTAAAAAAGTTAAAAAAACGTTAAATTACCCTTTTTTTCCTGTTTGTTAAGAAGGTATTTTGGGCTTAACATCGACTGCGTCTCTGTGATTTTACTGAGTTTTTAATCCTAAAATATAATTTTTTAAAATATTTTTTTAAAGCAAAAGTTGCGCGCCACTCCGATTGACCACAAGCACCACCAATTGAGAAGGTCCGCCTTAGACCTTTGTTACATGTGTAGCTTTCTTTAGTTTTATCAGACAAAATTTCACACAGGCATTGATCATACATGCATGTACATGTACTATGTAGATCTACATGTACAGTACAGTGTATATATGTAGATCTAGGCCTCTACCAGGTATTTTGCAATATGAAGACTGGTTTGTAAGATATTCTCATCTTGTAAATATAATTTTAACTAGACCTAGTTGTTTATTGTTATTGCTTTTGTTTTTCATATTGTTGTTGTTGTTTCTTCTCTTCTCCATCATTCTCCTCCTCCTCTTTCTATTCTAAATCTACAACTTAATTGATCATCTTCCTCTCCTTTTTTCATCATTCTTCTTCCTCTGAACATTGGGTAGACCCTATATGTAGCAGATAAACAGCAACATGCAGATCTACAGTACATGTACATCCCTTCTTGCACCTCCACCACTCCACCACTCCATAAAGTTATCTCTCTGCATTTCTTGCAAATTTGCAATCAAATACTCTGAGTGTTGTTAATTTTCTTTACTTTAGTTACTCCAGTGTGTCTTGCATTGCCATAAACCAACTTTCGACGTACAACAGTTGCGCAACAGCATCCACTTAGACCTAACTAGATCTATTACTTGTTACTGTACTGTGGACAAATGAAATATCTTACGTTGATTATCTACTTACCAAATGTATTCCTTCAACAGCTTGTAAATGCAGACAGTAGGGAACAGTTGGATTCGAATCTATCTCATGTCTTCTTTCGCCAGGGGGGTTAACAAAGTTTGAATGCTTCACATACAAATCTTTCCATTGCATCTTTCCAGTCGTCATTCTGGACAATCAACAGCAAAAGTCACAAGACCTAGTCTAAAAATTAAATTGAATCTCCGGTATAAGCAGCAAGTTTCATTGCGAGATCGACTTTGGTTGTGATACAACTATCCTATGCGATCTTCGCTCTTCAGCCCAGCTCAGCTCAGCCTATCTACGTGCGTTGATCCTGGCCGGAATCACGTAGATTATTGGTATCCGAAAAAGGCCAATTTAACGGTGCCAATTTAATGACGACTTTATGAAACTAGCGATTCATTATAGTGTAAAAGGCATGGAGATTGTCGCCGAATGCGAATCCCACTGGTGCGAAAGAGCATTATTCTAAAAACGTATCCGAAGTATATTCATTTTTTTTTACAGGACAAGTTACGTAGTCTCTCATCCAGGGTCATTATTATATTTTTGTTTCTAAATTTTTCCTTTCTTGTTTGCTTCAGTGTTAGAGTATTTTTCGGATTTGTGTTGACCATCGGTCGAGTGCTGTAATAGTAAACAAATCCTGGCTTCATGCACGGTATCAGGGGCGGGGGGGGGGGGGGGGGGCGTTGGGCGGTGGGGGGGGGGGGTGGAGGCGGGGAACGTTTTTTTTGGGGGGGGGACACGTCTCCCCTCATTTTTTTTTAAGGGGGATCGTCCCTCCCCCCTCAAAATTTGAAAATGTGCCCCCGAAAAAGGTAGCAAATACTAAAGACTGCAACAAACTTAGGTTCTGGAGGGCCCAAAAGTGCAGCGTGTAGACAAATAAAAATGCAAAAATCTTTTCACTCGGAAGCTACGCTCCCTTGCATAATAACCTTCTAAATGTATAAGTAAATAGGCCTACTGAGCAAAACGAAGTGTGAAAAAAGTTTATTGCTTGTTTTTATACTATAGTTTTGCTAAGAAATGTAATTTTTTAATAAAACCAAAACTTCAAAAATCCGTAAGGGGTAGTCCCTCTCATTCACTATGCTCCCTCGCAATATTGATGGGGGGGGGAGCTTTGGGGAAGTCCCCCCCTCAAAAAAAATCATTCAAACGTGGTTTATTTCTAATTCGATACCAGTGATTTACAAATGTTGCTGAAATGGCATTTTCCCTGACTTTCCGGGGGCTCTGCCCCCTGGACCTTACGGTCCACTTGCTTCGCTCGGCTTGATCTACCTGATCGTAAATACTTTAGCCAGGACCTGAGTAACATGTAAGAGTGATGGTGATGCGGGTTCTTTTCTGCCCCCCCCCCAAACGTTTTTCCTCATTACGCCACTGCTCCCTCGTCCCTCGCATTTTGCCCCCCCCCCCCCCGGTCGTGAAAGGAAATCGCCGCCCCTGCACGGTATGCACCATTATCAAATTCGATCTAAACAAAATAATGTCACTGCATCATTCTAAATTCAGTCAGCCTCTTTTGGGCTGCCACGCAAAATAATGTGGAAAACTTTGCGACATTTTAGTCAGGATGTTAAAGCCCGTCTGTACTAGTTTGGCCGGGGGGGGGGTTAGACCACACAGAGTGGTCACTGACAGGTGGCTATCTCATCAACTCAGCTCTCGATTAACATAACAAAAAGTGGATCATGGGTGACCAACGGGCACCGTTTAGGCGTTGTTTTCTCTCCAGAGGGCCAATTAGCTACAAGTAGTACAGTGGGGATTCTAAAAACAGAAATAGCACGTATTAATATTTGTTCTTCTTCTAATTCCGATATTTACTTCAAGCTTGCTAATATCAACATTATTATTTGTATTCCCGATTTCTTTAGATTTCTTTGGATATATTGTTGTTGATTCTTAATTTTAGAAAACGGTCATTATTCATAAGGGTCATCATTCATATTTAATGACCCCGATTCATAATCGAAAATGAGGGTTGCCATCATAATTATGAGAAAAGGGTCGTACTCGCTATAATACAAAATCGGGTCGAAATTCATAGGCCTAAGGGTCCCTATTCATAATACGAAATAAGGGTCGCTATTCATAATACGAGAAGAGGGTTGCTAGTCATAAAAATCACATAGCAAACAAAATGATAAGAAAGGGAAATGTTGGCTGTGGCGTAGCTCTGGGGGGGGGGGGCGACACATGGCCCCGAATATTTGTCGCAAACATTATGAAAATTTACTTTCGTGACAAGACGAGATAGTTTACAAGCAAACCACCTCATCAGGCCCATATAAATAAATATGAATGTCTGACATCTGACTGTCCGAGTCGTCATCATAAGCGTAGAAGGCGAGGGGAAATATTTCATAATGTAGATGTGTTTGTTTTATAATGATCTATCTTGTTTAATGACAATTCACGTCAGCCTTACTCCTCGTTTGTTTTGTTCCCTTTATTGTATTTTTTTATTTTGTTTTGGCTATTTAATGTCATTGACTCTTTATATTTTGTGTGTGAACCTGTATGGATGCATACGTGTATTTGAATAATTAATACGTGTATTTTATCTGTTGCTTAGGATTTATCAGGTCTCGAATTAATTAATATTAACTTTCCTGAACCTGCATGCACATTTGTATTTACATTCCGTTTTTTTTGTGTGTTTGTTATGTATTCATCATTATATCCTGCCCCCTTGTTGCTACGAGGAGGGCTAGATATCCCACCCCAATTATAAACAAAAACAAATTCATCACGGCATTTATTTTTATTTATTTTTCGCACTAGACCTTATCAAAACCTTCTGACCCATCACCACAAGGCGTCGCTAGACCTTTTTTCAACGGGACGGAGAGGGGGGGGGGGTGTAGAGGCCACCGATTATCGACAAAACTAGCCACCAATATTATTACCGACAAATATACTAATGCCAATGTCCCAATATCAACACATTTCACCCTATAAACACGGGGCTAAGAGCTAAATTAACGTGTCAAAGATCTTGAAAGTTGTATTCATGATGTACGAAAATGGATGAATGATTGCTATCTCAAACTAAATGACGATAAAACAGAATTTCTCTTGTTAGGCTCCAGACAACAACTTTCCAAGATTGTTATAACTCATATACGTGTTGGTTCTGTGCACATTGCTCCTTCAGATAAGGCAAGAAATCTTGGTGTCATTTTCGATACAAGCATGTCTCTTGATGCACATATTTCAAAATGTGTGAAAGCTGCCAATTATCATCTTCGTAATCTTCGCGCTATAAGGAAATTTTTAACCCCCCAAACCACTCAACAATTGATTCATGCTTTTGTAACATCTCATCTCGATAACTGTAACTCTCTCCTTTATGGACTTCCTAAATACCAAATTCACAAACTACAAAAGGTTCAAAACGCAGCTGCCCGCCTTGTCACTAAATCTAAACGATCGACCCATACTACTCAAATACTCAAGAAACTTCACTGGCTTCCAATAGAACAGCGTATCAAATATAAAATTCTACTACTCACCTACCGTTCACTAAATGGATCAGTCCCTGAATATATTTTCTCTCTTTTTAATATCTCTTTAAGTTCTCGTGCAGGTATTCGTTCCTCTAATTCAACAAATTTAACACAATTAAGAACAAAGAGGAGTTGGGGAGACAGAGCTTTTACAGCTGCTGCACCCCGGTTATGGAACTCCCTACCCCATTCAATCAAAATGTCAGCCAATCAAAATGTGTTCCAAAAACAATTGAAAACCTATCTAATGTCTGAGTTCCTTAGTTAAGACGTAGTGTATTTCAAAATATGATGTAATTAACGTTGTTGAATTATATTTGATTATGTTAAATTATTTTCGTTCAATGTACTTACCTTGTTAGGCGCCTTGAGTCTCTCTTGGGGTGGATATGTGCGCATTACTTTTTTTTTTCAGTGCGAAAGCTTTGACATTTCATTAAATTGTTAAAGAAAGAAGACGATTCGTTATACCTTTCCCGACTCGTAATCCTATTCTGAATTTAGTTTTCCCCCTCCCACGCGGAGCGCTGAAGCTTTGACATTTCATTAAATTATTAGAGAAAGAAATTCTCAATCGCAGTTCCCGGCCTCTTCCGCTTTGCCTTTTTTTAATTATTAGAGAAAGAAGACGATTCGTTGTAGCGTTCTCGACTCTTAATCCTAGTCTGAATTCAATTCACCCCCCCCCCCTCCTCTCCCGCGCGAAGCGCTGAAGCTTTGACAGTTCATTAAATTATTAGAAAGAGAAGACGATTCGTTGTACAGTTTTCCATTCCTAATCCTTGTCTGAATTCAGTTCCCGGCCTCTTCCGCCTTGCCGTTTTTTTTTATTTATTAGAGAAAGAAGACGATTCGTTGTACCGTTCTTGATTCTTAATCCTAGACTGAATTCAGTTCCCCCCTCCCGCACGAAGCGCTGAAGCTTTGACATTTCATTAAATTATTAGAGAAAGAAGACGATTCGTTGTACCGTTCTCGACTCTTAATCCTAGTCTGCATGAATTCAGTTGCCCCCCTCCTGAGCGAAGCTTTGACATTTCATTAAATTCAACTGGGTTCTTTAATGTACGACTTCGATTCTGGTGTCCTTCCACAGGCTCTAGTCAGCATTTTTAAGAAAAATAGTCAAGTTCATGACCATGCTACACGAAATGCCTCTGCGTTTCACTTACCCCAAGTAAGGACAAAGTTAACTTTTAATACTTTGGTTTTTACTGGACCTAAATTTTGGAACTCTCTAGGCTCTAGCGTTAAGCAATCTGTTAGTCTCTCTTCATTTAAGTGTAAACTTAAGGTTTATCTTCTCGATAAATACTGTGACTCATAGAGTAGTTCATTTTTGTAGTTATTATGGTGCCAAGATATATTATGTATTACTATAAATGTAAATTTTCTTCTTGATATTAATATGTGTCTAACTGAATATTTTCAGATTGTCAACCTCTTATTCCCTCCCCCTGTTGTCTTGTGCCCGTTGTGTGCTGTGCCTATTGTCGATGTCCTGTAGTCTTCTATTATTTCTCATATTTTCTATTTTCTCCCGTCTTGTCTAGTCTCGTCTCTCGTTTTGTTGTTGTTGTTGTGTGTGTGTACACTTCTTGTTTTGTTATACCCCCTTTTCCCTATTGTATTCTTAGGTAGTCACAAATATCTATTCATCATGTTTTATCCGGCTCAGAGGGGACCCTAATAATTACAAGCTCTGCTTTTACCAGGGTCTCCTCGCCTTTCTTTTAGTTAACTTTGTTTTTATCATTGCCATAATTTGTT